TCAGGTGTTGGCATTGGTGTCATCATCTCCTTACGTAGAAATATATTCATATATATTCAAGCATCACTTCATATAAGCCATTCTTTCCCTAGGTCCTAGGCAAAAGTTTGCATTGGCATTCTTAGCATTTGGTCCCTTTTGAGGGGCCAAGGTGACTAACTTTCTACATGTACATTCTTTGTTCATTCATAGCTAAGATTTTGCATTGAGATATTTTTAGTTTTTTTTCTTCATCTCTTATACATGTGAAACTAGGCAAGGGAATGCATCTTAAAGAATACACTCTTCACAAAAATAGGACACTATGACCCATATTTCATGTTTTGACTGAGTCAGTTTCAGTGTTTTAGTTTTATTCTCAAACTCTGTTCACCCTTGAATCATCTAACTAGATAACTATATGCATATCTTTTAGTAACACATTTTTACAACAAAAGGTTTATGTGACCTATATTTCATTTTATATTTCCTTATATTTTAAGCTCAGTTCAGGCTCGGGTCATCAGTTTTGGTACAAACTGGTTATTGAAATTTTTGTCAAGGCTACTTCTACTGAATGGATGGTTGTGCTGGCATGTTTTTTCACTGAAATAATAACCATAGTATGCTGATCATGGCTAACCTTCAACAAGAGCTGCTTTAATAGGCATCCAGTCTAAGTTTCCTCTTACCCTTGACACCCCGTTTTTGATATTTGTTTTTTTTTTTTGTTGGGGAGAGTCAGAGTCTATTCCCTATCAAAAACTTGGAATTTGCCGACACCATTTGGTGTCGGCTAAGGGTACTCGCTATTTGACCTATGACGTTTATGCATATCTGCCATGGGATTTAGTTAGTCATGTGACTAGCAATGAAAATGGTGCGAACAAGGTCAAAATTCATCATTGCTGTAGTTTTATCTTGTCTTACAAAGGATTAAAGATAAAATTGGTGTTATACTTGTTATTTCTAAGATAAATGATTTCCCTATCGATTTAATGTAAATATGGATCAATGCAAGGTCATTTAAGTTTGCTATTCCTGATAGTTGGCGAGTACCCTATGCCAACACCAAATGGTGTCGGTAAATTCCATGTTTTTGATAGGGAATAGACTCTGACCCTACACCACAACATAAAAAAGCCAGATATCAAAAATGGGGTGTCAAGGATCGGAGGAAACTCTGACTAATAGGCATCTTGAAAATCTTAGGCTACCCTTTCCAAACAAATGGTCTCACTGACATTCGATTTTTTCACCAGAAGACTTCTTATATTGCCAAACTAACAACAAATATGGCAGCTATAGTTGCTATCTTTAATGTCTTGTTATTGCTGTTCCTGAAACAGATGGTCATAAGAAAATGATGTTTTGGTTAGTAATAAATAAAAATTGTGATGATCTGACCACCAGAATTTTGTCTGTCTTAAAAATCATGTTATTACTATTCATTCTGAAGGGATGGAACATTGCCACTCAGACCTCACAGAATGACAACAATCTCATCATCACTACACCTAATGAACAAGTAATTTTATCAAAAAGGGATTTTCAATGAAATCAGATTTGTCCAATATGAAAATTGTGCAGATCTGGCCTTACTAATGACTGCCATAATTGAGAACTTCTAAATCTTGTTATTGCTTTAAGTCCTGAATATTGTCAGGGGATTTTCTCTTAAACACTTGCAAAAGTAGTTTGACTAAAAAGTAAATGGTGCAGATATGACTAACTTCTATGATAGACACCCTTAAAATATTGCTCTCCCTTCTCATCTTGAACAGATAGTGATGATCTGTTTTTTTACTAAAATGTTTTTTGCAATAAGTTCCTTATCCTTAATGAAAATTGTGCTGATGTTAAGCTACTCACCTGGCCACCACATAATGAAAATCTTAAAATGATAAAATTTAAAATGGTTTTTCACATGGACATTGGGTTTTCCCTGAAACAGTTATTAAAATGATGCCACTCAGCATTAAGAGGTTAGTATTAGGACTTGTCAGTCTGGTGTCAGGATAATATGATTCTGTGGAACTTAATGATACATGTCTGAAGCATGATGTCCCAGTGCAAGATATCACTATAAACTGCCACACTGCAGACATAAAAACAATATGACTGGAAAATTGTTAAAGTTATGCTAAAAATCAAAATCACACAGACTCCTATGGTCAGTGTTATAATTAGTGTATCCATGTCAGTAGTCTGACCCATGGACAGTGTTATAATGAGTGTATCAGTCCAATCACTTATGTGTATTGAACCCATAATTAGACAAATATGATGGCTTTACATTATGAAGAGTTAAGTCTTCTTTTGGAGACGAGGATTGTGCATAGTATAAAAATAAGAATATGGACCACAATCTTAGCTTATAAGGTGATTTTTGTAATGACAGTCATCTTACAGCCTTAGATGATATGTGCATGGTGGTATACAAGATAAGTGAAAAAAATAAAGGCAAACCAATCCTACTCTTCACCCTGAGTTTTCTCTTGAAATACCTTCTGTTGTTCTCTCCATGATATGACTGTCATCACAAAAAAAATATTTAACTGCTTTATCGTACCTTTTTTTCCTATTTTTATATGATAAACTCTATATTTTCACCTGGGTTTACTTTAAGCACCTCTTTCCCAAGTCTCACAGCTGTTTTTTTTTTTAAATGGTGCAATCATTATCGAGATAAATGGAGCTATTCCTATTTGATTACCATCATGATTATAATCCTGTCATTTTTGTACATTGAGCAATGCTGTGATGTGATTGGAAGAAAGCTTTTAGATATTATTTTGTCACTCTGTGGACTGTGTTGAAAGCAGGATGGGAACTGAAGACATTGTCTACAGATAAGGTTCTTTGTAAATGAAAATGCACACCATATGCAAGAAGAATTTTGGAACATCTGACATAAATTTTAATGCATCTTGATAATTTTTTTCTGCTAAAGGAAAACTTCCATTTCATTTGTTGAAGGAAAACTAAGTGCTTCAACCTAAATTTACCTGGGAATATTACATTATTAAATTTTTTCCAGATTATATTTATTATTTATATAATGTTAGTTTCAGTTTTTGCAGAATTTATCTTGCAAAATATTGCTGAAATAAAATTCTGGAGTTTATATATATATATATATATATATATATATATATATATATATATATATAGAGAGAGAGAGAGAGAGAGAGAGAGAGAGAGAGAGAGAGAGAGAGAGAGAGAGAGAGAGAGAGAGAGAGAGAGAGGTAAATGAACTGTTTAAAAATGTAATAAATAAATGATAATCACTGTGAATTTATGAATACATCATGAGGATAATCATAAACTACAGAAAGTGGCATCATAATGTGACAGATGAGTGAACAGCACCATACAGTATATTTTAGTTACTAAGAGGTTTTTCTTTCAGGAATAAAAACTTTTCGTCCTACCTATTAAATTAAAGAATTAGTATATACAACTAATTTGCATAATTATATGAACACATTTGAATTTTATGCAATTAGCAAAATTGCTTTCTGTTTTGATTTGGTGATAATAATAAAGTTGAAATTGATCCTAGCTATTCATCCGAATAAAAAGTGTGATAACCACATTTAGTGTTTGGAAATTTATACCAGTTATTCAGCCCAAGCAAAATAGTTACAAAAAAAATCATTTTTGTGCAGGAAATTAATGAGTGGAAATCTTTATTGCATATTTACAATTTGATTTTATCTTCTTTTTTGTACCTGGCAAACTTTAGATGCTAAAAAGATTGAAGTTTTAAAAACGCACTTCTCAAACAAATGTTTTACAATGAAATTATCTAAATTAGATGTACATTTACATTTGCATGATTTAAGACTGTCAAATACACATGGGAATTAATTGAATTCATCACAATCAAAGCTGACACTGAAATTGTGCATATGTTTTTGCAGAAACATGAGATCTACATTCTTGACTAGAGTTACTGAACTTTAGGTACACCTTTCAGATATTTTTACAGTCCCAGGAACTTAACTTTGAAAAACAAATCTGGTTATTTTTTCTACTACAAGGACCAAGTATTATATATCCAGATTCCTCATTCAAAAGTTAAAAGACAGAACTCATAGAATCATCCAAATGGACTCGATGCTGACATCCAAATGAACTTGATGCTGACACACAAATGGACTTGATGCTGACATACAAGTGTACTTGGTGCTGACATACAAATAGATTTGATGCTGACATCCATAATTTCTTTGTTGGGAATAAAACATTACCCAAACTATTTCTACACAACAGTAAAATGCATAAAATTACAGAAATTGCTCCTTTAAACTCAGTATATGAACTACACCCTTTCCAACCAAATCAACACATACATGTGAGTGCATCTATTTTTAGAAGGGGATTTTAGTAATGTTACCACCCACTTTATATAGCTTCATTGCAACAGTCCATAGATATGATTGCAAATTTATGGTTTATTTATTTGTCTACGTACTTGTAGTAATTTTAGTCATTGGTTAAATAGAAAAAGCCCTTCTGCTTTTTTTTTCTCATATTTTTGCAATTACGATTTAAGTCAGAAAATAACTTTGACCATACAATGCTCTTTACCAATTCCATAACAGCATTGTCCCAAAGTTTCTGAGCTACATAATTTTAAAGTTAAATCTCAAATAATGTAATATCTAGGCTTTGCTTTCTATGAAGTGTATTGGGGGGTTTTTTTTCTAAGTATAGTTGCATGATGATTTATGAAAACAATCTAAAAAACTTTAAACTAGTATTTCCACGTTTCCCTATTACTGGTTCACTTAATGTTTAAAATTTTATGACGAAACGGTATACAAGAGGCAATTAAAAAATCCATTTCACCGATTCTGTTCTTAAAACACAAATTGCTATTTACATACTATTGTTAAAGTTTCAAAACACAAGTTTTTATGTTTTTATCATTAAAGAGAATATGTGGAGATCGGGCAGTGATAGTTGCTAACTGACTTGGAGGAAGGGTTAATGATCAATAAGCTATCAAAACTGTTTTGGTAGCCTAGTGGTTAGAGCGTCCGCCTTGGATGCGAGAGGTCATGGGTTCGATACCTGGTAGAGTCATACCAAAGACTTAGAACAATGGTACTAACAGCTGCCTTGCTTGGTGCTCAGCATTAAGAGGTTAGTTTTAGGACTGGTCGGCATGATGCCCCAGTGCTAGACATCACTATAAACTGCTACATTGCAGACATCGTAGCGATATGACTGAAAAATTGTTAAAGCTATGTTAAAAATCATAATCACACCACATCAAAACACATGCCTGTGAATGTGCAAGAGTTTGTTTTTCAATGTAATTGACAACAAAACTAGGCCTAGCTACTGATGGTTTAATGAATACATTTCACTACAATACAACAACCTTGCTAAGTCGAGGGGGGATCTCAAAATACATGGTTGGTTCAGTCTCAAAATACATGGTGGGTTCAAAGTTTTTTTGCAAAAAAAAAATCATACGGTGAAGTCGTTTTTGCCTTCCTAAAAAAGAATGCGAAGTAGCGTGACACCTTTATTAGAGCCTGCTGAATATATCTCCCACCCTCTCATTTACTTTCCCATCCCTAATTTTTTAAGAATATTTATAAAAAAAATTTATTTACAATATATTACAATACTATACAATACAATATATTTATTTAGGTTGCAGGTTCAAATCCTGCCATTGACTCATTTGGGCTTGGTATTTTACCCCAGTTACCTCATTATCAAGTACCTACTTGTGTGGTTTTGCCATAAAATCCCAACCCCAACCAAACTGAGTTAGATTTTCATTCAGAATGATGTGCTGTCATTGAGTTGAATAGATACTATATATGTAATAAACTGACAACGAATAGTGCAAAACTAGTTTCCAACTAACCTAAGCGTTTTTTACTCTTGACGAGTCTTTTTCAAAGGTATGTACAAAACATAGACAAGACAAACAAATAAAACAGAAAAATAGTAGTGTTTGCAAATCTTTATATGGCTGTTTCTACACAAATTAAACCTTTAACTGTACATGTATTATGTGTCAAATAGCTTATATCAACTTGTGGACACTGGAAAATATTTGTATTATCCTAGAAATTGATGAGCCATAATGACATGTTATTTTGTGAACATTTAAGCACAAATTATATCCCTGCTATTTCATTGTTATAGTAGTAATTGTAGACTATTAAGCAAATATAGATACAAAATTTAAAGAACACTTGTAAGCAGCAAACAAAAAATTTATTTGTTCATGGCTGTCTTTTTCTGATCTTTTTGGCTTGTACATGCCTTTGAAAAAGACTTTTTTAGAGCAGATGTGCTCGCTGCGAACTTGATGTTAAGAAAAATAATTTGATGATGCTTCATAGTGCACTTGGGCTCAGCATAACATGGCCGGCCTTGTTCTGATGTTTTGTAGCAATTACAGTGCTGGATACCATTTTGCTTGAATCGCAGCTTGGCCAGACACTAAACACCAACATACAGAACCTCTGGCACTACCTGTAACAGATGGAGAACCTTGTCTTTCTGAAATTGTTATTGAAGAAATAGGGAAAAGTTTTTCGGTTTTTCCTTTACCTTCAACAACTTTTTACTAACATTGTGCAGCCTGTGAATACACTGGTTTATCAGCAAACAGCAACAAGCACAAAAGCTTGTACTGTTCACTTGTTTGATACAGGTGACACTTTGTAGAATTCAGATACGCATTCTGGTTTGACAGCATTATAGCATCTTTATTCATCTGAAGGTCTTCAATGAACTTCATAATAACTTGAAACAGTTTTCCAATAAATATCAAAACTCTTAAAATTGTTACCCTTTTTAGAGTTGTATTGCAAGATCATTAGTCCTTTCTGCTTGGGAGTTTGAACATTGTAATTCATTAATCCTTGAATACAGTGCCTTATGTGAAAATCTTCAGGTTTCATTGTTACATCTGTATCATTTTCTTCAAGTGGTAAGTTAGCAATTATCTGATTAAAATCATCATCAAAGTCCTGCTCTTGGAAGTCATATTTGTCAGTAATTGTTTCACACTGAAATAAGTCATCTTGGATATATGAGTCTTCAACCTAAATGTTTGCAAAAAATTCACATGGTCAATTCCTAGTATGAAATAAATGAGATGGCATGAAAACAGATGTACATACAATATGCAGTATTGTTTTTCAGCAAACAAGGCATCTGCTTTATTTATCCAAAAAACAGTGTTCCGATCCATAATTTACATATACAAGACACACACACGTTGTCACTTTATTCATGGTAACTTCAAAACACATTATGTTAAGTGTATTAGGATATCAAATTTGGGTAGAGAAATTAAAAAGTATATATGACTATGTTGGCCCATATCAAATTTGGGTAGATAATTAAAAAGTATATAGAACTATGTTGGTCCTTACAAATTGGGATTAGTTACAAATTGAATAGCTTGGTTCAATTCAATGGTTTGAATGACATAAAAACCAACTTACCTTAGAAGCCGCCTTTCACAAATGTAATCTTAAAATAAACGATTTACTCGCTTTTTTCAACAGAACGAATCATTGTTCCATACAGATTGACATTAGCTACAAAATTAAAAAACCTTGTTCAATTTCATAGCTTGTATGTCATAAAAACCGATTTATCTTAGAAACCGCTTTTCACAAATGTAATCCTAATTAGCTGGGTTCAGAATTCATAACAATAAACGAAGTACTCGCTTTCTTTCATTGTAACAAAATTAATCAGCCGAACAAATCAGGTCTCGTTTTCTTTTCAACTATTAATTCATGTTACGAGTGGAACAAAAAGCGATTTACCAAAATTGGCAATAATTCATGTTAAGAGTTGAACAAAAGCGATAACCTCTTTACAATAAAAATGACATTCTGATTTGGACACGTAGCTAATTACCTTAAAACAGACATTCAGATTGGAACACGTAGTTATTCCACGCCATTTCGGAATCTTTACAATAAGTAACTCAGAACAGACCTTCTGATTGGGGCACGTAGTTATTCTACGTCATTTTGGAATATATAAAGGCCGAGTCTACCTGAAAACTTAAATCGAGTAAGCCCCAGTCATAGAAATTTATCTGTTCGTATTTACAGTTAAGAATTTCCTATTACTTTAAAGATTTTTGTAGTAACTTGTAGTCGCAATATTTGTGAGTTCTCTTTTTATGTACTACTATAATGTAATGAAATATTTTTTTGTTTCTATGTTCATTTGTATGAATTCGCTAGCTTCATAGTATTTTTAGATAATACAGTACAATGTCCAGTGATCGTTAGCAGGTTGTTATTATAAATTATATGAAACAAAATATATTCCTTGAAGTGATTAAAACATCAGTCGTAACTATTGAATTTTAGGCTTTTTGAATTCAAGCAATATTTTAATCACTTGTATCGCATTCTGCAAGGAATTTTACAAGCATATGAAGTAATAAATCACAGAGAAATTATTCAACATGTATTGTAATATGTAAAGTAAGATGTATTGTGTGCATAAGTGTATCTTTAGAATATAGTTTCATATATATCAATAAGAGTCGATTAAGCCCCAGACAGATAAGTTTGTTCGTATTTACAGCGATGTCCGCTACCTTTTGGTGCCAGAACTTCCCCAAAAGATGTAGCTGCATCGACGCCATTACCCATGACACCTTGTCTTTGAGAGAGTCCGAATTTCCCCGTTTTCTCTCTATCCTCCCTTCTAGCCACGCAGTGGAACATTGCTAAGTGTTGACGAAACAGATTATTCAGATGCTTCACAATTCGTAAAAGTAGTTTCGTAAAAAAGTACATTATGATAATAAAGTACATTATTATAATAGCGCCTTCATGTATCGGGTTACTATTAAGGCTGGAAGTGCAAAATGGAGCAGAAATAGTCAGACGATATGTACAGTACTTACAAACTTGAATTATTGTGCAAAGACCTGGAGCCTTTAGAAAATATTAAGTTGTTTGGAAGGTATGTCAGGCATTTATTTCCTGACACAAAGAAACTGGAGTGGAACAAACTACGCTGAAATTTCCATAAAACCAATTGATGCTTACAAAGATGGGTGTCAGAACTGTCTTGGCAAGAATTTATAGACTTGATAAGAGCTAATCTTCAAGAGACATACAAAGTTAATAAAATTAAACGGGGTTTAGTAGAATACTTGGTAGCAACTAGATCCTCAGACAATGGAGTTCCAATTTTTAAACATTTGACATTTCGGGAGAATGACTAGATCTTGAAAATTGCTGGCAAGGACATAGTTTCAAGGAGCTTATTCATCAATAATGAATATGAATGCATTAGGGTTGGAATACAGGCAGTGTGTCCGCAAGTCGAAAGTATTTTTCTGTGTGAAGGCACAGAACTAACCGAATCAGTTATATGTATAAAAGATCACTTTGTCGAGACCCTGACCTCTGAAAAGACAGGCGAAATAAGGAAGACAATGAGATCTGTAAATTGTTTGAGTGTCCAAGGCATGTAGGGCTTGTCAAAAATTTATAGTCGCAGAAAGTAGGAAAATGGAAGATATTGAGGAACAGAATGAAGATAACATGGCACTCCGAGGATGTCGTAAAAAAAAGTAACATCGGAAGAATATAAGAATGTTATTCCAAATGACCCTCCCCCCAAAATGTTATACTTACTGTTATGTCTAGCAGAAAATAGTGTTGTCAAGGATTTAGGAGGTCATCGATGGAGTCAGAATGTAATTTCAGTTTGTTTACATCTGTATACACAAAAAGTCTTCAAGCCTAAAAGACAGTAATATTCTTTTATTACCCTCTCTAAGTACTGTAGTTCTTTACAAGAACAACGTACATCATCATGTTGGCTTTCAAGATGATATTTTTAACTGATGTATTCAGAAACAAAGAGATTAAATGTTTCTGTTGAGTCTTGACAGGTGGTATCACTTTTGATGAAATGTCCATTCAAGAAGATTGCCAAAACTGGCGATATCATCGAACTTGTGGGGTTTTCAAGTTATGGAGATGAAATAGTAGTAGGGGAAAGTAAGAATCCGAGCTCAACAACCCCCTCCAGACCTCCAAACAAATACAAAATACCTAGGTAACGTAATAGAAAA